AAAATACCCCACGATGTTAGGCAATAGTGAAAGAAAAAGTCAAAGCCATGATGTTAATTTCAATATCAAAAAAAGGAAGAAAAATGAAAAATAAAGGAAAATGCATTAGAAAGATAAAAATTATACATCACTTGTAGGTGACACATCTGTTAGAGGTTAAATTCCACATTAGTTTTAAATATGAGGGGTCATATGGATATTTCAGAATTGTGAGATGGTTGGTTGACTTTCAACGAAACCACGGGGAGTTTTCTATATTTTAATTGTTTTCAATATCTTATGTTAACTATGTTCCAGTGAAATTTGGGTCCATCTCATGTGCATTTAGACGCGTATTATAAGAGGTGGAAGCCCCTATGGTGGGGAAATTCCCCACGTAGTGAAAAGTTGGTGATAGGTTGACACCAGTGTTGTTAGACCCAGATTGGACTAAATGATCCCACCGTGAACCGATCTTCTTTTTGAGTTGATTTGTAGTATAAAATTGCTTTGATAAAAAATCATTCAAAATAGTCGAAAATCGACTAAATCAGTGATCCGATTCGATTGGTTTATCCAGTTCTCAAATTTTTTTTCTTCTTTTCCCTAAACATAATTTGAGTTATCTAAATTGTAATCGTTTCATTTATTGATAGGAATAAGAAAACGTCACCCACTTAGTGTAAATGTCAAAATCACTCGTTTTGTTGAATAATCTTTAAATCAAGATGTTTTCATCCCTATGATATTATTAATTTAGCATCAATGATTTCAACTTGTATTAATTTATTTTAATTTAGTTTTTGAAGTAGTTTTGGATAATGGACATATTTTAGTCATGAATTTATATTTTTCTATATAATTATTAGGTGTATATTTGATTGCAAGTATAATATTTTTGGAACATTTTCTATGATTGGTCGAATATAATAAAGAATTTAATTTCAATATTTCTAAAAATTATAAAAATATAAAATAATTATAACATCATACTGACGTCAGCAAATTTTTGAGAACAGTCTGATCGATTTGACCAATGAATCCCTGATTCAGTGGTTTAGCTAAGTCGCTATCCGTTCTGAGTTTAACAACATTGGTTGACACTTTATGCAGTCTTTAACATGTAACTCCCAGAATTTGAGGCTGTTTAGTTTTTTTGCTAGCAACGATACATTTGCTGGATATGGCTGTGAAATTACACGAAAGGACCTATATGAAGGGGTGAGATGAGAATATTAGTAGGTGACAATTAGTGTATGAAAAGAAATATGTAGATAGGATGGCTGCGAATAAATTGCAGATTAATGGTGCAACCATAAATTGAACTGTTAAAATAAAAACCAAGGTGCTGGTAAATTATAGGAATGGAAACAATTGCACCAAAAAAAAAAAAGGCCTGAATGAAGAAGGGAGAAAATGAAGTAGCAATAGCAGTGGTGGGCGACACTACGGAAGAAGCATGAATAGGAAGGGCTGAAAAAGGTTATGAAACAAGATTCTTTATTACTGTGCCAAACAAATAGTGGTATCTAGTTAGATTCATATTTTTAGTTTATGTCCTTACCAAAAATAAAAAATAAAAAAATAATCTGCTTTGGATACTAAGTGCATTTGGTTTTAGTTGGCATAACTAATGAACTGTGAATTTTCGAAATGAAATTGACGAGGAACTATATATATGCCTAGGCACCATTGAAATGCAATTTGGTTAATAGGATACTATTAATTGTGAAAGCATTGGTACGCTTGGTATCAATACAATTCTATTTTAGTACAATTCTATCCAATCGTTGTACATTTTCAAGTTTTAGGTGTACAAATATATCATAATATTGTACTAAATATATGTGAAATATTTTATTTATAGATATTACTTTTATTCTGAATATAATAATATAATATTATTATATATATTAAATAATATAAAAAGTATAATAACAGGTCTGAATCGTACCACACTCTAATTGCAGTAGGCCCTCTTCAAAAATTATGGGCGACAAGGGTTGGGAAGTAGAAAGTGTGCACGTTAAATTACAGCGCCCATTTGGCAAGCGCACAACATAAGAGTTGTGGCCCATCACCGATAATGCTTGCTAGGGGGCAAAACATAAGAGGGTATGTTTTTTGTGTAACTTTAGTGTGGGGTGGGAGGTCAAAAGTTTCTTGCAGAGGGTATGTTTCTTGCCTTCCATCAAAAGTTGTCATTTAATGTGATTGTGCTTAGATTCATGTAGGTGCTTTGCACCCATATGATTGGATGGTGATTTAGTCTCCGTCGGTTCTCGATGACTTTGTTGGGTCACCCACTAGTATAAGCTACTCCCTAGTATAGGCTAGATTAGGAGTAGATGTAGATGATGACAAGAGACAAAAAAAAAAAAAAAAAACTATAATTGTGAAGCCGCCTAATGGGTCCAAAACGAAATGGATCTAGTGCAGTTTGGTCTAATTGTTAATTTTTTTTATTACTTGGTGTGCAATTATATTATATTAATATACTTTTAAGTAAAAATGGTGTACAAAATAAAATATTTGATGTATATTGGATACAACATCATAATGTATTTGTACATTGAAAATTTGAATACGCACTTGGCCTAAATCGCACAAAATACAACCGAACTGAGTCCACGTCCAGTTGAAAGCTATAAGATTTAATTAAACCCTTCAAATTTCAAAAAAGAATGATATGACAATACATAAACATTTGATTCATGTAATTCAATATGCTGTAGTCAATAAGTATGCAATTTACATTTTGTTTTCATTCGTACCAAACACATGAGTTGTATCTTATTTGTGGACTAGTTAATGGCTGCATGAGGAGAAATGGAGGAGTTTGCGTGGTATGCATTTAAAATAAATGATTACAAAGAGTATTGGTTGTTTGACCTGTGATGACTAACAAATACAGTATATCTAATGGGCAAGGAGGAAGATTCAGGTGGCAATTGTTTGATTTAGATACAAAAGCCAATGAGTACCTATTACAAGAGGAGTACGCAAATCAGGAAGATGATGAGGCGGGGGGCGACAATAATGAATAGCCAGATGATAAAGCAAGGCACGGGGGTGGAGAAGAATTCTCTAATATTCAATCCGACAGAATTGAGGATAGTGAACTTCTAGGGATGCAGTTCGACTCGGAGCATGACACTAAAAATTTCAATCTTCTATTAGGTATTGCCACAGGTTTTGGGATACGTAGGGGATATAGGAAGGTGTATTCTCGTGAAGGATATGTTCGATATCTTTCATGGTTATGTAATCAAGAGGGTGGGAGGGAGGCGAAACATGTGCAAAGGCAAGATCGAGTCCAGGAGCAGAAGGCAACTACACGGATTAATTGCCCAACCTATTTCAAGATAAAACTTGAAATTCGGTTAGGAAAGTATATGGTCATGGAGTACGTAAGCCAGCATAGTCACAAGTTCATGAATCCAGGCAGTATTTGTTTCGATAGATCGCATAGAAATGTCACGGATGCACATTATGCAGGCACATATATTGTGAAGCGTTGGAGTTGGTGCTAGCAAGATAATGAAACTCTTTGCCCTGGAAAATGTTGGCTTTAGGTTGAAGGACCTTTACATCAAAATTCATAGTGACAGAGCTGTGAAAATAGTTAGCAGGGATGTAGGTGCTGCTATTGCATTCATGACTGTCAAGAAGGACGGCAACCCCTACTTCTACGATAGTTCATGTTGAACAATGAAAATCAAATGATACGGTTGTTTTGGGTAGACTCTCATGCCAAGGATAACTATAATGCCTCGGGGATGTGTTCGTTTTTGATAGTACATATAACACCAACGACTATGAGTATTCACTTGTTGTTTTGTGCGGAGTGATCAATCACTTTTCTACCTGCATTTTTGACTCTGCATTGGTGGCTCATGAGGATGAGGATGGCTATGATTGGGTGTTGAGCGTTTTTCTCGATGCAATGGAAGGCAAGAAGCCATGTTGATTAGTTATAGATTAGGACAACGGAGTGAAAAAAGCTATGGACAGATGGCTCCCGAATGTAAAGCATATACTAAGCAGTTGGCATTTGGAATAGAATTGCAATAGGAAGCTGAAAAACAAAGCTTTCTTCCCATATTCAAAGGGTTTACGTTTATGAATAGTTCATCGAACCAGTTTAAATGCAAGTGGGCTGAGGTTGTTAACAAACACAACTACCATGGCAATTCTTGGTTTGATAAGGTTTACAAAAGAAGGGTTATGTGGCACTTGTTTATTTGCAAGGCCATTTCTTTGTCAGCATGAGGAGCACGCAAAAATATGAAAAATGTATGTTGTCCTCAAGACTTATCTAACTCGGGATTTGAAACTGTTTTGAGTTTTTTTTTTTTTTTTTTGATAATTGAAGATGCATTCAAAGGAAAATAAAACAGTCTACAACGAGATTAGTTTAGTACAGTCATCCTTGGTGTCGTAACACCTCTTAGATCATCCAAAAGAAATGTATGTGCATTTGAGGTAGTCCTTACTTGACTGCGGCACAAAGAGAAAAGGCAATGCCTCACTAAGCATACTTCATTGCTTCCTTCTACCCCAATGCATCAACTTGAGAGCCATGCTGTCGAGGTCTTTACCAGGAAGACCTTCTTAATGGCACGAGGCGAGATGGAGAAAATAGGGTATCTACTGTAGATATGGCGGATACGATAATGGGACATAATGTAGACATTATCTCACGCACTCGTACAAAAGGGTCAAGTTTTGAGTCACCTATAATCGACAGGTAGAGGGTGCTGAGTTACTCTTGCATGAAACTTGAAACTCAAGCCTTTTCCATATTGGCACACTATGTGGGATTAAGATTGGAGTAATAATGGTTATCATTTTTGCAGAAGTTTTTTATGTTTCATAGGGTGACATTTATATTAGAATTGGATTCATAGCTTTTCAGTAAATTTAATTTTGAAGGCAAAAGAGAGTAAATTGAAGTACATTAACATAAAGGATTGACAAATACAAGATAATAGAATTAAAAGATACATAGTTAGGAAGTCAAAAGAACTAAGTTGAAGTACATTAACACAAAAGAGACTGAGTTGAAGTACATTAATTTTATGCATGATCATTGTGAAGGTTCATTGAAGTCTGCTGGCCAGCTACAAGTTGTTCAGCTTCATAGCTTGTGACAATGGTGAAAGGTGTTCCTTTGATTGCTTTTTCTTTTGGAGTTGCTTTCTTAATAAAACACATAAGTGTTTTTCATTGGATTGCTTGTGTTATATGATGGAGTAAATTCATAGCCTGCTGTAGTTACATAGAAATATGTTAAGAAGCAAATAGATTTAATATGTTAGTAGTTTGTAGTTGCTTTTCTTTGATACCTGATTGTTTGTTTCGGTCAGTTCAGCAGCTTGGACGGGCGTCAATTTTTCAGCTTCTTCTCCCACTGAACTTTTGAAATTTTGGTCTTCAACTTGCATGTTACAATTTCCTGATATTGATTAGCATAAAATTTGTTATTACATCCTTTGTCAGCCGAGTCAATAATTATGTTAGCTTGTCTAGTTCATTCTTCGTTTCTTATGACTGTCAAAATTTAACTCATGATGAAATAGGCATTCAATTATCTTAGCTATGCATTAAAGAAATAAGCAAACATCTTGCACATGAACAAATAGCTTAGACTAACCATCATGTTACTTGAAAATTCATTAACGGAGCTCACAATCATAAGCACACAGAATATATAATTCAATAATAAGTAACTACCAATACTTATGAAATTTGTAAATATGAAGCATTAAGAAAGCTTAACAAGCATTTTATCAAACATTAGGCAGGCTAGTTATGAGTAATATGACTAACCTGACGTAAAGTGATGGTGCAAGTCAAATCTTCAATGCTGAAAGCAATGCTGCAACGTGAAAACAGAAAACATGTAAAAGAAGCTATATGTTACTAAATGCATATATATGATGAAGGAAAAGCTAAGAAAAATGGTACCAAAGGATCAGAAAGTGAAGGAAGATTTGTTTCTGATATGTGCGAATGGAAGAGAAATGAAGCGGGACAGCAGCAATTAGTATATGTAGTAGGGTGGGCTGCACTATTCAAAGCTGGACTATTCAATCTCAATTAATCTAGTACTTTATATTTGAATCTAATGGCTATGAAAAGATAAAGTACAATGATAACTTATCAAAAGATTGACATTTCTATGAAGTACAACGGATACCTTTATGGTGGGAACGGGTTGACCGTGCCTATGGTAGGAAGGCCTCCAGAGGCCGACACGTGTTGCAGGTGGATGGATTGCAGACGGAGACGTTTAGCCGTGGCATCGCGCATGGAGATGCAACGTTAACATGTTGTCCGCTGCTGCAAGTTAACAGCAGAGGTTCGTCAGCCGTTTGCAACGCAGTTTGGTGGGCCGGGGCAGTGTAATTGCAACTCAGAACCACTGCTCATTTATACATTTGCAAATCTACCCGTTAGCAAGGGGAAAATGCTGCCAAGGCCCTGGGCAAAAAATTATGCGTAAAGAACGAACCGAAGTTTGAACAAATAATAAATGTAAACCGCGCATGCGAGCGGGATAATAATTTGGAAGAAGGAAAAGCAGAGGAGAGGTATCCGTACTACTCCCTCCATCGTACTTTGATAGTCCAATTTTGCTCTTGCGTCTGTCCCAAATTCTAGTACATTTTTCAATTGAATTGAAAATTTTAGTTGTATTTAAATTTTCGTAAAATAGCCTTATTAAATGTAAGATGTTGTTACTATATACCCACTTTATATAATGAGAGTTGATTCTTTTTTTACCATTAATTGAAGTTTCCATAAAGTTGTAATGTAATTAATGTGATGGTATTTTAGGAAAAAAGTTACTTAAATTGATTGTTCGAACAAAATTAACTGTTTTTTCTTAGACCGTGCGAAAAACAAATTTGAACAGTAAATGTGGGACGGAGGGTGTAGTTTCGAGACAACGGCTCCAAACACTACCTTTATGGTAGGAAACCTTTGAGCAATCGTAACGTAGGCAGACCCGTAACAGGTGTATTTGTAAAATGAGGAGTTGACGGTCTGTTATCTTGCAGTGGTAACACCCGTGCAGATAAACAAAACAAGACGTATGCGGATGCAGGCCTTTTTCCCCTCCAATTGCTGCGTTTAATGTGCAGTGTTTCCCCACTGCTTTAATACATTTTTAAAAATTGTGAAACTATAGTTTTGTAATAAAATTAATAATAACATACCAACAACAAATACCCATGACATAAATATACTAAGCAATTACAAAAATATTTATGATTATGCACATGTAGTTTAGAATTTGCTCCCAAACACCGTGGAACTAAATTTTTCATTAAATTTGAAGACAGTACGGAAAAAAGACTGATTAATGAAAATACGATGTTAAAAAATTTTGAATTCACCGTCACAAAACATGAATTGGTGGGCAATACCAAAAAGCAGGGTACTTTAATCATATAATGAAGCAAAGTCATAAATTTGAAGGCAAAGTTTTCATTAATAAAAATGCCAGCTCTTCACCGCTTTGTTATCAGGCGTCCGATGTATGAGGAAAGTGGCAATAATTAATGTGGTAATTTATTCGGTTTATATAAGTTTTAAAATTCTTTTTGAGTTTCGACAAAAAAAAAATGAAAAATGTGTAAGACAAAGCACAAAAGTCAATTTGATTGGTGTGTTAGGGGAAAGAATAGCAGATATGTAATGTACATGTATTTGACGTTCAAAATACTGCAGTGATGTTTGTGAAAAACACCGTAAAAAACATGTAATTAAAATGGAACCAATTTTGATTATTTAAAATACCCAATATGTGAATGTGTTTTAACTGATATCCATTGATATGCTAAAGCATCGTTATCCCACGAAATACCAGCACCTTAACACCCATTTTTTCCATAAACAAATTTATTGATGACATAAAATAAAACTATACCCATTTTCCAATAAATGGGTATTTCTTTGAAATACCCAGTGTATTATTGAAAAACGGTTTTATTTCTATTTCATCCAATTAATAAATTGTTTATGGGAAAATGGATAGTATGTTGTTGTAATAGATAAAGCCATAAAGAGGTGAGGTTGTATTCGAAAACAAGTACATTAAAATTTAATCGGGTTAAAGAAGTTGTATTCGGAATAATGGGTTTTAAAGAGATGAAATTTGATGAAAAAATGATACTTTACGATATCAATGAATAACAGTTGAAACACATTCACAGACTTGGTATTTCAAATCACAGTATTCATTATTTAAAATACCAAATTTGGGAAAGTATTTGAACTGTTATCCAATGGTTTCGTAAAATAATATTTTTGGTGAAATAGCAGTTGTTGAACAGCTCTTTTGCCACAAACAAAATAATGTATTGGAATAAAAAAATCCGTCATCCAATAAAACACCAGCTCTTTATGGCTTTTATGTATTACAAGAACAGAGTACCCATTTTCCCATAAAACAGCAGCTTTTTATGGCTTTTATCTATTACAAGAACAGAGTACTTTTTTTTTACATAAAAAAAGTTATTTAATGGATGAAATAAAAAAAACCCATTTTGTAAGACAAAGCACAAAAGTCAATTTGATTGGTGTGTTAGGGGAAAGAATAGCAGATATGTAATGTACCTGTATTTGACGTTCAAAATACTGCAGTGATGTTTGTGAAAAACACCGTAAAAAACATGTAATTAAAATGGAACCAATTTTGATTATTTAAAATACCCAATATGTGAATGTGTTTTAACTGATATCCATTGATATGCTAAAGCATCGTTATCCCACGAAATACCAGCGCCTTAACACCCATTTTTTCCATAAACAAATTTATTGATGACATAAAATAAAACTATACCCATTTTCCAATAAATGGGTTTTTCAGAGAAATACGCAGTGTATTATTGGAAAACGGTTTTATTTCTATTTTATCCAATAAATAAATTTGTTTATGGGAAAATGGATAGTATGTTGTTGTAATAGATAAAGCCATAAAGAGGTGGGGTTGTATTCGAAAACAAGTACATTAAAATTTAATCGGGTTAAAGAAGTTGTATTCGGAATAATGGGTTTTAAAGAGATGAAATTTGATGAAAAAATGATACTTTACGATATCAATGAATAACAGTTGAAACACATTCACAGACTTGGTATTTCAAATCACAGTATTCATTATTTAAAATACCAAATTTGGGAAAGTATTTGAACTGTTATGCAATGGTTTCGTAAAATAATATTTTTGGTGAAATAGCAGTTCTTGAACAGCTCTTTTGCCACAAACAAAATAATGTATCGGAATAAAAGAATCCGTCATCCAATAAAACACCAGCTGTTTATGGCTTTTATGTATTACAAGAACAGAGTACCCATTTTCCCGTAAAAAACAGCAGCTTTTTACGGCTTTTATCTATTAGAAGAACAGAGTACTTTTTTTTTACATAAAAAAAGTTATTTAATGGATGAAATAAAAAAAACCCATTTTGTAAGACAAAGCACAAAAGTCAATTTGATTGGTGTGTTAGGGGAAAGAATATCAGATATGTAATGTACCTGTATTTGACGTTCAAAATACTGCAGTGATGTTTGTGAAAAACACCGTAAAAAACATGTAATTAAAATGGAACCAATTTTGATTATTTAAAATACCCAATATGTGAATGTGTTTTAACTGATATCCATTGATATGCTAAAGCATCGTTATCCCACGAAATACCAGCACCTTAACACCCATTTTTTCCATAAACAAATTTATTGATGACATAAAATAAAACTATACCCATTTTCCAATAAATGGGTATTTCTTTGAAATACCCAGTGTATTATGTACAAATGTATTAATATAATTAATATAAATGTATACATGCATTAATATTATGTATAAAGGTAAAATTAATATTTTGTATATTAATGTAAATGTATAAATGTATTATATTAGATATTATACATAATATAAATGTCTATTATAAATATACATAAATATTTATATATTATGTATAAATGTACATTTATATAAATGTGTAATATATTATATATTATATTATCTAATATTTATGCAAATATATTATAAATATATAAAAATATACTACAAATAAAATAAAAAATTTGTAATGTGTATGTATAAATATATAATATTACAAATGTATAAAATATATAATACACATTAATATTGAATTTAATTTATGCATAATATACATATTAATATATATTATGAAACAAAATTTAGTAAATATATTTATTAATTTATATATAAATAAATGTATTTATATAAATATATATTATTTATTTCAATTCATAGAATATATATAATATTATACATAATTGAACTAAATATATTCACATTGATATAATATATATAATATACATAATTGAAATATACCTATTCAAATACATCATTGAAATGTACAAATTGAAATATATTAAAATATAATTCAAATTTACATATTAAAATACATAATTCAAATTTAGAAATTTAAATATACTTACTACAATTCACAAAATTTATTGCACGAATGCCGTAAATACAGGGTGTTTTATTGCAAACCTGATTAAAATTTTGTTCCCGTAAACAAAATTTTCCACCCCTACAACGGGTACTCAGTTCTTATAAGCTATAAACAGTTACTGTTTTATTCGAAATCGGTTTATTTTACTTTCTCCGTCACATACATTTTCAAATGGAAAACGGGGTTCTCTGTTCTTATAATGGAGCAAAGTCGTAAAAAGCTAGTGTTCGACTGAACACCGGTGTTAATTTTATTTTTATCCGATAAATAAATTGTGTTATGAAAAAAAAATTAAAAGGCTACTCTATTCTTATAATGCTGGATAAGCCATAAAAAGCTAGTGTTTTACGACAAAATGGATTTATTATATTTTTATCCCAAAAACAATATGGTATGTCGAAACACGGACCCTGTGTTCCATTAACGGACGAAAGCCATCAACAGCTACTGTTTTATTGAAAAACAGGCTGGTTTTTTTTTCCGGATAAATAACCAGCCGTTATGCAAACAAAGCGTACTCTGTTCTTATACTAGTG